TTTTCATGCAAGCGAAGAAAAGCTGGCGTTTACCCCCACTCCATCACAACACAAAGCAGCGTTGAAAAGCTGACGCTATCGCCTCTTCCCTTTTCATGGAGCGAAGAAAAGCTGGCGTTTTACCCCCACTCCACGCAATGCAAAGTAGCATTGAAAAGCTAACGCTACTTAACCTAACAAGTTAACTCCGTATAATAAAATGGATTATTCCAATTATTATAGACAGTACATCGAATACGTGGAGTGTTATAGACGTACAGTGGCAGCTACAGTTGCAGCAGAGGTCATAAAGAGGCGACGCATAGCTGCTGCAGCTTTTATGATGCATTTATCAAAAAAGAAAAAAATATATGAGAAGAAAAAATATTGGGTAGCACCCATTTTCGAAAATCGTAACGAGCACAGTTTTTTCTTTGCGTCAGTCCCGAGATTAAGATTGGAGGATTTACGATTTCATAATTATTTTCGAATGAGTGCAACTCAGTTTGAAGAATTGTTGGGCATGATTGGACCAACAATACAGAAGCAGGACGTCGTTCGACAATGCATCTCACCATCTGAACGGTTGGCATTAACATTGAGGTTTGTTTTTCTTGATTCAAATTTAATTTTGTTGAATTTAGCGTTTTATAAGTAACAACCCAGCCAGAACGTTGATGTCGATTTGACGTCGGAGACATCTAATAGATGTCTAACAGACGTCTGTTCGACGTCGAATTGACATGATGTTCTGCCTGGGAATGTTATATATTTTTGCTTAATACATAAATATTGTTATATCATATATAAAATATAGATTTCTTGCTTCCGGGGACTCTGTGACATCAATGTCATATCATTATCTCGTGGGAGTGACAACAGCAAGTACCATTATTCATGAAACATGCAAAGCATTGTGGGATATTTTGTGCCCTTTGGTTCTTCCAGGCCAACTCCATGAAAGAGACTGGCTGGATATCGCCAATGATTACTATGAAAAATGGAATTTCGTTCATTGCATAGGAGCCATTGATGGCAAGCACGTCGTTATTCAAGTGCGTAAATTCATTGTTGGTCAAATATATAAGACAATTTTGAGAGCAGACGCCGGTAATTTAGCGGAGTATAATTTATATATTTATCGTACTTTACAACGATTTACATGACAAACGTTTTGGTTCCGGTATTGAATCCTCTTCAGTGTCAAGAAAAACGCGAAGGACGAA